TTCCAGTCATCCAATTTCGAATCAAAGTTGGTCATTTTGTCCATGATGGGGATTTCTAGGAACATAGAATTACAGGAGAAAACAGGTACCTTACTCTGATCTCCTATCGATGAATTTGCACTTGTAAGACGTGTTATTCATGGACTACCCTATCAACAGCTATACTCCGCATCAGAGAGATCAATAACGCCCGTCACTAGTGAAACCGGCAGCGTGTCAAGGGGACCGCGCGCGACACGCGCCGTGCGGACGGGTCTAGGAATAGAGGCGACCGAAATGAGAGAGTAGCAGAAATGGCTACAAATGCGCGCCAAAGGAATGGATGGGTATCGATCGACTTTGGTCGCTCGTCGACGTTTTGGGGCAGGCTTTTCACAGCAATGCACATTCGCGCGGGGACCTACACAGCTCCCCTTTGAAAATCTATACCGTACATGCATTAGCCTGCGTATTCCAACATGACGCACATAAAAGGAGTGGATCGGTGACAGGCTTTCTTATAACATAGCATCCCTTTGGGACGAAGAATAGTGAATTCATGGCTAACACGGCGCAGAGGAATGCAGTAGATGTCGTTAATACTTAATAACGACGTTGCGCAAAGCAGCAAAGCGTTTCCCATCTAGTTGATTTGATAGAACATAGCATTGCCACCTTGGAACGAGTGGGTCCTGGAGCGAACGGCCCCGTCTGCAGCGGTTCTTCTGCTGTGCTCGCCGCAACTCATGACTATCTCGGGATTTTAGATTTGAAGAGGCCACACGGAAAACATAGTCTTGAGCTTCTGTCATATTTTGTGTAGACTAAAACTTGGTGCAGTGAAAGGCCACAGGAGGAAATATCATTTACTTTACTCATTTCTTCCCGCTTTCTCCGTAGTTTCCCGTGTCTTCAAGCTTCAAAGAATTGGGAAAAGTGCTCTACCATTTATCTTTCACAACCGGCTGCTGACCCCTCAAATTCAATTTATACACTTATCTGCGTGTGTGGGGTGTGGGGTGAACGGCTCCGCAGCTGCAGTAGCGCACCATTCTCTACGAGCAAAAGTGCCTAAGAACGCGGCTGGAGCGTAGTGATACCCGTGTGCCGTTTCCATACTCCACCCGCGCTGCAGTACGTCCAGCCACCCGCCTAAACCATAGCTAAACCCGCTACTTGCGTGCGCCCTCTCGGTTCTGGCTGTTCACTACAGCTAAGAGCGTATTTTGCTGACGACCTTGGTATTAAAGCAAGCGCTGTTGAGCACGGTACGCCATCGCGTTGGATAAATTTTTGTAAATACGACCCCCCCCCCCTTCCCGAGTCTCGCTACGAACCTTGCTCGTCAAGAAAGACAAGAAAAGAGGGAGAAAGAAAAAAGGACAAAAGAAAAAGGAAAGAAAGAAAGACAAAAAAGGCAAAAAAGCAGATGTTGTCGACTAAAATATTTCAGTTTCAATTGTTCGCGCACGCTCAGAGATTGCGCGCGAGTTTCAAAACGCCTTCCCGCTGTTGCACTAGGGCGAGCTATTTCGTGACGTATGTTGCCAAGTAATTTAGGAGCTGCAAAGTATTAGGTTGTCCGGAAAGTTCTGCATGTTTTGTGTTACTATTTTTTGCACATTCATTGCTGATTAAATGGTAAGGACATATATGTACAATCGCTTGGGATATGGATTCGAAATGCGCAGCAATGAAACTAGATTTCCGTGATAACTTGGTGTCCATGACGTCTCCGACCGCCATTCAGTACGCAATATGGGCGTCAAAAACACGCCATAAGTCGCGCGACCGAACGTACGCTCGATTATAGCCACATGGAGCATCACTGTAATCACACAGCTAGCCTAATGGTGAAACTGTCGCGCCCGCGCCTCAGTTCCAACTGCGCCTTGAATAGCGGGCGGAGATATAAGAGACATAAAAACATCATGCTGTCATCAGTCCCTAGTTTTATTGATATTTCCGAATGACAAGAATACTACACTCCTATTGCTATGAACGAGTGCAGCAAGCACACGTAAGGAATAGAGTGTTCAGGGATATTATACAGCGTGCCCTTAACCTAGTCTATACGCGGCTGAAGAACGCAACAGGTTTTGCACTTGGGACATTAAGACATAGCTGTACAACCAAGGAGTAATAGTGAAACATTACAGCAGTAGTTTACCAACCAAGGCAGACCGAACTGTTCCTTACACGGTCCAGATTCTATGGATTTCGGTAGGGCAGTGGGCACGATGGCTGGAGGGTACGTTTTGGTGGAAAAGGGTGAGTGGGGTGTGGCCAAACACTTTCCTCACCCTTTTCTGCAGCCCTCCCGCCAATGACGCAGGCAATAACAGCCCGCCCCAGCCACTTTACTCGCTACCTTCAACGCGCTTTTCACTGAAATCATAATTTAATTCCAACTTATGCTGAAGATTATGTTGGACTTGGCCCACAGCGTTTAAACCAGCCAATTTTCGGAAATAAGGCTCCCTCAGGACAAGTGGGCAATTTTCAGAAAATTCAGGTAAAATTCTGGTACAATAATAATTTGAGAAGTATGTTCAAATTTCTATGATTTATAGCCGACTACCGCTCGGTTTCCACTGTTTCCACTGACTGTATTTCAACCTCCTCGCCTATGTGGATCCCTTCAGTCGCATCTTTTGGGGTGGCCATTTTCTGTTCTGACTGGGTTTCATTTTGTAACCGTAGCAGGTTGTTCGTCGATGACTACACTTTCTTCCACAATTTCCACGTTTTCTATTGTTGCACCTTCCGGAATCATTTCCTCGTCAACAATTTCTGCTGATACCAAGCCATCATCGGTCACCACCATCGCTTCTAAGGATTCACCTTCTACTAACAGTGGATGGTCAGCAACGATTTCGATGCCAAAGTCCTGGAAAGAATTGCTCTAATTTTAATAGCGTCTTTGAGGCAGTAGTTCAACACATCCAAGACAGCATTGAATGCGAATCGGCATATTCTAGGGAGTTGACTTCAATCCGTCTGATGCATCAGGCGACAGCAGTCTATGTTCCACAGTACCACTCTTTTACATAGCTGTGACGGCATGCTGTTGCGTACAATCATTACCCTTGCAAACGACAGGGCGTGTGACGAGGGCGTGACTTGTACCGCTGCCCGGGCAGATTTCCCGCCAATCGTAGCTTGCTTAAGATGGCATCACTGGTGGAAAAAAGGCGCCTTGGCTGTGCTTCAATCCACGCCGCGTCACAAGCCCTTTCGTTAATCATGATTGTACGTTGGGAGACTGCGCTACCCTACGGCCAGTTTAATTTCAGTTTGTATAGAATGATGCTTTGAATAAAATAGTCGTGAGGCTGCGATAGCCTATAGGCGCAATCACAGGTGCAGAAAGCAACAGCGCAGGAGCCACGTCGGCGTGACCTAGTGAATCTGCCGAGCTGAGTCAACTAGCTAAGAAAGGCTGATTCGCGTGTGCTTTCCTCTGACCTCAGATGTAA